TGAAGAGGAGATGCACCAGAAGATGATGAAGAAGAAGAAAGTGGTGCATTAGAAAAAAGAGAAGGCAGTGAAGTATTAGTAGGAGAATTAGAAGCAGGAAGAGGAAAAATTATAGGAGCAAAATTGTTGGGCAAGGAAGGTGAGGAAGAAATAGAAAATAAGGATTGATATGGAAATTCAGATTCATTGGAGGCAACAGTGATGGCTATGAACTCTTTGCCATAAGAGGACAAACACCTATAGCCCTTATGCTGAAGACTATAGCCAAGAAAAACACATTTGGACGATCTGTACTGAAACTTGTGAGAATTATAAGGCCTGATATAAGGGAAACAGGCACGGCCAAATGGTTTTAGAAATGTGAGATCAGGAGAGGAATGAAAAAGCATCTGACAGGGTGATTTATGGTGAAGAACTGGAGTGGATAGTCTGTTGAGAATAAACACAGCTGTATAAAAAGCATCCCACCAATGTTTAAGAGGAATTTGAGCATGAGCAAGAAGGGAAAGGCCCATTTCAACAATATGTAAGTGTTTTCTCTCAGCTCTACCATTTTGTTGATGTGTGTAAGGGCAAGGATGTCTGAAGTTAATGGCAAGAGATTGAAGAACATGCGTCAAAGGTCTATATTCACCAACCCCAGTCAGATTGAAAGCACTTAATAGTGGTATGAAATTGAGTTTGAACAAATTGAATGAACTGTTTGAGAAGATGAACAACATCAGATTTTACTTTTAAGGGAAATATCCAAGTGAATCTAGTAAAATCATCAATGATGTGAACATAATATCTATATCCATCAACATAAGTAATATGAGAGGGCCTCCATACATCAGTGTGGACCAATTTAAAGGGCATTGATGTTTTTGTAGGCTGAGAAATAAACTGTTTTTGATGCAACTTTCCAAGCTTACAAGCATCACATAATGGTAATGAAGATGGCACAGAGAAATTCAAGTTATTCATCATTTTTCTAAACACACCAGAACAAGGGTGTCCAAGCTTTCTATGCTAAGAAAGAAGTACATCATTATTGATTACAGAAGCAGCTGAGTGACATGAGTGAGAAGAGGGAAAAGAAGAACAAGTCTATAAAGAAGAAGAATGAAAAAGGGCTGCATGCTGAGAGAGATCCAGTTGATAAAGACCATCTCTAAGCAGTCCTTCCAGCAGCATCTTGTGAGTTGTCTTGTTTTTCACCAGACATGAATCAGCATGAAATTCAATGAGTATGTTATTATCTTTTGTAAGTTGAGAAATCTGAGCAGGTTTTTAGTGATATGAGGAACACAAAGAATGTTGTTAAGAAGCACAAGAAAAGAGTGAGAAGTAGGAAGATGAGATGAGCCAACATGAGAGATGGGAAGTTGAGAGCCATTACCAACAGTGACTGTGTCCTTACCCTGATATGGAGCAGAGTTAAGAGAAAGGTTCTCAAGATTTGCAGTCAAATGAGTAGTAGCTCCACTATCAAAGTACCAGTTAGGGTCAGAGAGGTTGAAGATGTAGAGCAATTTGAAGAAGCACTGGAATCACCAAAATGAGCCTGTGGAGAGGGCAGGATGCCATCCTGACCTGTAAAGCTAATGTCAAACCACCTGTAACATTTGAGAGCAACATGATTAGCTTTACCACAAAGCTGACACACAATCCTATCAGAATTCTTGTAGAACCGGCCACCACCACGACCCCGATGAAAACGACCTCGACCTCTGTAATTTCCACGGTAAGAGGAGGTACCACGATTGGAGACATAGTGTGCAGATGCAACTCCATCAGAAGTAGCAGTGGCAGTAGCAGGAAAAGCCATAGGAGCAGAATTAAGTTGACTGGTAAGACGCATTTCATGTGCTTGTAGGGGAAAATGAACTTCAAGCAGAGAAATGAAATCTAAACGAGATGTCAAATTGACTACAACAGCTTCATAGTCAGAGCCTAATCCACCCAATATATATAACACAAGTTCATCATCAGAGATATGGTGACCAACAGACATCAACTCATCAGCATAAGTTCGCATTTTCAGAATGTACTCATCAATCGAAGAATCCCCCTTTTTCAGAGTTTGACGCTGAAACTTAAGATGCAAAATGCGCGCCTTAGATTGAGTAAGAAAAAGCTGAGATAATACCGACCAAACCTCTGACGCTTAAGCCTGCCTAGAATATTGCTTCTAATGTCAAATTGGACTGGGGCGGACTTCTAAAGAAGTGGTACATCTGGTGAGATGACCGAGCATGGATTCCGCAATTGAAGCCAACATCCAGCTGAGAAGCAACTGATCAGTGTGTATCCATTGCAGATACGCCGGATTAATAACCGGTGTTGTCGCAGAGGCATCGAAGAGAAACTTCGACGGCGAGTTAGGGTTTAGAAGAAAATCCTCAAGTCCATGTGCGCGGACGGTTGACAGAATCTGAGCTTTCCAAAAAGAATAGTTCGATTGATCGAGACGAAGCGGAAGTGGCGTGAGATGAGGCACCACAACAAAAGACGGAGCTAGAGATGACGATCGAAGATCCGCCATGAGAGAAAAAAATCAGAGGAGAAAAGTGGCTCTTGATGCCATGTTAAAGCTACAGAAAGATAATGAAATGTACTTTTCCATTACTAAAACTCATAAGTAAGATGATGTTTATATACATGAGGCCCATGTGCATAAGCTGTCACATGCTTAACTAACCTTCTAACTAACATATTTAACTAACCTCATTAAAGAAATAATTACACTATAACTGATATATTCCAATAACAGTTGATATAAAATAATTTATCTATTATATGACCTTAAAACTTTAATTATGTAATCCATACATAATTGTAAAATGAAAAAAAATAGCTCTATTAATAGGGTCGTGTTTGGTTTTGTATCAATCTCAGAAAACTTTAAAAATTCTTATTTTGGGTATAAGAAAACTTTAAAAAGAGCTCTATTAATCACAATTCGTTTTTAGTGAACACGAATTAATGTCCATTGCCTACTATGTTGGGAAAATAATATATATCATATACAATGAACATATAATTTAAAAATCATGAAATCCAGAGAATCAATCCTCTCATCGAACATGTCTAACATTTCCTAACATAATATAATATGACCATAATCTAATGTTTGAACAATTCACAAGCTTTGATTTTTCCCTTTTCTTTCAATTTTTTTTTTTTTTTTTTGNCTATTGCATGTTAGCTAAACGACAAATAATTAAACGTGAAAGCAACGCATACAAAATAACAACCAAAACCGGCCCGAAAAGAAATAAATGAATGCAGCGTATCTAAGTTATATATATTTTGTACACCCAATGTATTGGAGATGGATTTTATAAACTAAATAATTTGATTGATTGTTGCCTGCGATTATCAGGTTACTTATTGTATAACCATATTTGTTTCATGTACTAATAAGAGTCTCTACTATCAATTAACATATGTCAAATGCTTTTATAACTATTATAAAGAAAGCAAAAATTACTAATGTTGGATATAATTAAACCAATAATTTACATTTGTTTAAGAGTCATACTATTATTGGAACGAGGAACTCTATTTATAAATTATTTGTATGCATATAATATTAAAATTATAAGTTAGATAATGATATTATATTTTAAACATAGGGTATTATAAGTTATATTTATGCATATAATATTAAAATTGTAAGTTAAATAAATGTATTATATTTTAAAATTTGATCATTGGTTAAAATAAACCAAATAAATAATACATAATGATTTGATTGTATATGAATCACTATATTGATTGCATAAAATAAAATAAATAATGTATTTTTGGAAATATTAAGGGACTATGACTAATTAATTAGATAAAAAATATTAAATTTATTATACAATTACTTATGAGATTTTAAGGAATTTTACTATGCCATTAAAAAAGATTAATTTATTTAAAAAGTAATCGCTTAAACAGATAAAGAAATATTATATTAATTTTATAATAAATTACTCGAACAAAAAGTTTTTACAACATAGTTTCTTATGTTTATGTAACTTTCACATATCATTTAGTGTAAAATATAATTATTAATTGTAATAATAACTATTATATGATACAATTTCCAGAGCTGGTGAAATTATTTTGTATTGTTGTTAGTGTATTTGTCCATATTGTACACGTGCTGCATTTTCCAGTTTCACCATGATTAATTATTGTAGTGATATCATAAAAAACAATAGATATTCCAAATAAACATTTATAAAAAGTTCTTTCAAAAATTTATATTCTGAATACATGCTTATGTAATCATGAGTTTCTATAATAAATAATTCGTAATTAAGTTAGCATAGTAATGATTATATAAAAAATTAAAAATATAAACATTTTTAGCTAATTAACCTAAATTGATATACTTAGATAAAATAGTGGTCATTAGTTTAGATTTTGTAATTGTCCAAAATTGATGTATTTTGTAAAAGTAACGTGTTTTTGTATTTGAAAAGTTTGTATTATTTATTAGGTAAAATTTAATTTATTAAGTTTTATTTATAAGGTAAAATTTAACGAAAGGCTAGCAATTATATATATATAGATGTGTATACTTTTATCACAAAATGTTATATTTTAAAAAATAATATAAATATAATGATATTTGTAATATAGGTATCTACTTTAGCTCATAAAGTTATAATAGGTCGACTCGCCTAAAGTTAGACTATCTCGTCAATAATTAGTGATAACTAAAAAGTAAGAATATTAATAGTTAGACATAACTTTAATGTTATACATTAAAAATGTAAATAAAAGTATAATATTTCATAACATAAATATGCACCTTTATTACAAAAGTATAACATATCGATCTTTCCAACCGTAAGAATGTATCATAGAAGAAATTGTGATAAATAACCCATATGAATCGTCTTTTAATTATTTCAAAATTAAAAAAGAAATTTAGAAATTCTAATTAGAAGACTTTATAGTTTATACTGAAATTATGAAGAAAATATCTATTTTTCCAAATTTTATATCATATCACAAAAGAAAAATTTAAAAGATCTCTCGTGACCCCCACTGTCTTCTTTCTCCCTCCTTCTACTCGACATCAGCTCTCTCTCTCTCTCTAGCACGTCAAGAAGCTCTTTTCCCTTGGACATTCATCAGATTCCGGTGAACATTATTTCGCTTCCGGTATTCTGTACCTAGATTCATATGTGCATTGTCTTAAAAACGTTGTCTTTGCTTGTTTTGTTTCATTTCCGAGTAGCCTTCGAGCTTATTGACATTTTCTGAATTATATCTTATCTCTGTGTAGTTCAGTATGATTGAAGTTCTTGGAGTTCGATGCTGTCAATTGATTTTTTGGAGCAAATTCTGACAGATCTCAAGGTCCCCTTTTTTTTTTCCCCTTTCTTTTTACTACTCATATTAACCAATATCTTGATTAATGTCAATGGGGTTGATATTTAGATTGTTGGGAGCTCATTTCTTGTTGTCTTAATTGTATTGTACTTGTTCATTACCTTTGTTCCCTGGTTCAATGGGTCTCCACTGTTGCAAATGGATGTTTTTATCTCTTCCTTTTTGTTTTTATTTTTTTATGTGATAATTGTTTGTTGTCCTTCTAGAACAGTGTTTGTGCAATCGATAGAAGAGCAGCTGTAGATTTGAATTAGACACTTCCCTGTGTTTCTCGGGAAATGCCATCCGATATGGCACAAAACTTGAGATCAAGCAGGTCTTCATTTGGCTCTAGCAATGGATATGATGCCCCTTCAAACAGCTCGTTTGCCATCTCAAATGCCGAAGATTATGATTCCGATGGTTCTAATTTTGCCCCACCGTAAGTTTTTGTCATGCCTAATCTGATACATGTAGGTTATCCCATTTTCTTGTTTTGCCCTTTTTTTCCCATGTCCTATCTGATTCATGTATATTGTCCATTTTCTTGTTTTGCTCAACATGGGCATCAGTTGCATTTAACCGAAAGAAATTGTGTTTTCTGTGTCAAATTATATTAACAATTATGCCCTTTGACTTGCAGTACGCCGAACACTCTGTCTTCAGTCATGCCGCCCGAACTTGCTGGTGCTATACCATTGATCGACAAGTTCCAGGTAAAAATTATGAACACACTATTTTAGTTTGTAATTAGGCATTAGTTTATCTTGGAGTGAGTGGAAATTTACAATCTGCCCTTTAACTGTTGTTATGTTTTTAGTGCACATCTTCTAGTTTCTAATTATTCGTTAGTTTTTCTTAGGTGGAGGGGTTTTTGAGGGCTATGCAGAAGCAGATACACTCTGCTGGTAGACGTAGCTTCTTCTCGAAAAAGACAGTGGGAACACATGTCCGACAGAAGTTTAACTTCGAGGACATGTTGTGCTTCCAAAAGGTAACGAGTCCAATGTGTGATCATTTTTTCCTTTCTAATCATGGGTACTAAACTAAAGGCATGTCATTCCTTTCCACAGGATCCTATACCAACCTCATTGCTTAAGATAAATAGTGATCTCATCAGCAGAGCAGTTAAAATGTTCCAGGTTATCCTGAAGTATATCGGGGCTGACTCTTCCGAAAGAGCCACTCCAGCTAGCTTAGATGAACGCATTGAACTCATCAGCAAACTATACAAACATTCTTTGAAGCGGTCTGAACTACGGGATGAGCTCTTTATGCAAATCTCGAAGCAGACAAGAAACAATCCCGACAGGTATGCATTAGGCATTTGAGGTTTCATGGGTTCTTTTTATTTTATGAAACTATAATTTAGTTTTTGGCATTTGATGCTCTAGTGGGTTTACTTGGGTTTTGGGGAGCTTTTTTTTTTTTTTATTTTTATTTTATTTTTTCGTTTTTTGGTTTGGGTTTTAGGAACTCATTGTTCCATGTTGCTTTGTTATAACAGGCGCTCATTGATTAAGGCATGGGAGCTCATGTATTTGTGTGCGTCTTGCATGCCTCCTGGAAAGGAGATCGGTGGCTATTTGTCCGAATATGTGCATTCCGTGGCACATGGTAGCAATAGCGATGTTGAAGTTCAAGTCCTTGCAATGAATACATTAAAATCATTGAAGTGTTCGGTGAAAGCCGGACCAAGGCATACAATACCCGGACGTGAAGAGATTGATGCTGTTTTGACCGGTAAAAAGCTTACGACTATAGTGTTCTTCTTGGATGAAACCTTTGAAGAGATTACATACAACATGGCCACTACTGTAGCTGATGCCGTTGAGGTAATGTTCACATTGTTGAAGCATCTATCCAACCTTTTCATAGTTCTAGATTTGTTGTGTTTGTTTTATAACAGGGTGTATGGTAAGTTGTTTACTAATAACAGTTCTGTATTTGCATGCTAACCCACTGTGCTTAAGTTATCTCTCTTTCTGTGAAAATTTGAAGTATGATGTCCTAAAGTAATTCTAGGTATCTATAAGTTTTATCTATCATCGTTGTTTAATGTATGATAGTTTATTTGGCAAATTTTAGAAGTTATGTTTGTCCCACATTGATTAGTTATTTGGCTGTTGTTGTGTATAAGTGTGGGTTGCGCACCCTCTCTCTTTGAACTAGCTTTCGGGAATGAGTTCTACCCATTTATCAAACAAACACGCAGTTAAGCCACCATATAAACATCTTTGTTTGATATTAGAAATATCAAACTGCACATTATGAATATTGTTAATGAGACCATAGGCTCCAGTATCCTAAGAATTTAACTTCAGAACTGAAATAACACCGTCATACATCAATAGTTACTCCACTAATATAGCTTTGGAAGAGGGAGCAACTTTTTATGGGCACTTTCCTCCTTCCATTGTTATGTGTTTACAAAACGTTGTTTGCTATGAATCAATATGACTATCAGTTTGAAATGTAATTTCCCTCCATAATGGTGTGTGTGGTCCAACTACAGTAACTATTTCCTTATGGACTAAAGTTGTGCCAAGTGGAGATAAATTGTTCATGGATGGTATTTGAGTTGCTATCGTCATGTTTAACTTAGGACTGTGGGCAGATCTTCAGAGTTATTCTTGTTGTTTCATATAGACAATTGTTGTGATAGGCATATAACACGACTTAAAGATGTTGGTGCATTATTGTTTACTTTCGACAAAAATCTTATCAAGTTAAGTGCTCATTCTAGATTCAGCATAAGCTGACCAAGGTTCCTTTTCAGTCAGAGCTTATAAGAGTGCTGCGAAACGCTTATTATGTTTTTGTTCACGTCTGCTTAAACTTCAGGAGCTGGCTGGAATTATCAAACTATCAGCATATTCTAGCTTCAGTTTGTTCGAGTGTCGTAAGGCTGTTGTTGTTTCAAAGTCATCTGACCCAGGAAACGGTACTTTTACCAACTTTGCATTCGACTACACTTTCTTACATTTTTAAGGTGCAATAAATTGTTGTAGTTGCCTATTTTTCTCAATTAGCTAAGAAAAAAACATGTTTCCATTTTTTTAAATAATAATAATATGCTGTTATCTTTTGCAGAGGAGTATATTGCTTTAGATGATAATAAATATATTGGAGATCTACTCACGGACTTTAAGGCGTCGAAGGACAGGAGTAAAGGAGAGATTTTGCACTGTAAACTTACATTTAAAAAGAAGTTGTTCCGGGAGTCTGATGAAGCTGTTACAGACCCAATGTTCGTGCAGTTATCATATGTCCAAGTATGGCTGTGTTTTCTTAATTCTTATTAGTTGAACTGCCATTCCTATTTTATCTAGTTCTGAGATTATCTACCAGATATACTGTTGCTGCTATTTTCGTCTCTCATCCTTTTTCTTTCTCTACAGCTCCAACATGATTATGTATTAGGCAATTATCCTGTTGGAAAGGATGATGCTGCTCAGTTATCCGCTCTGCAAATTTTGGTTGAAATTGGATATGTTATTTCTCCAGAGACTTGCACGTTAGTTACCATACTTCTCTTCATGTTTTTAAATTTCGTAACTCAACCTGCACCTTCTAGTTTTATTGGAAGTTTTAAGAAGTTCTTTATGGTATCTAGAAATGTGTGCGAAGGATTAGTTATTTACTTAACTTTATTTCATTCATGCATCCAGTGATTGGATGTCCCTTCTGAAAAGGTTCCTCCCTAGGCAAATTGCAATCACTCGAGCAAAAAGAGACTGGGAATTAGATATTCTTTCTCGTTACCGCTCAATGGTGAGAGCCAATATGGTATCTTTTATATGAGATTGAAATAAAAAATTATGGATTTTTAGAAATCCTCCTTCAATTTATTATAATTATAAAACAATAAAAAGAACGAAGAACCTCAGTTTGCCAACTTCCTCATCACATGACAACTATTGTTCTCCCATTAATCTTTTTTCATACATTTAAACGGATATATGAATTCAGGAAAAGAAATAATTCTTAACATTGATCAACATTTATTGTCCCTTCTAAAACTTCTCCAGTTTTTATTTATTTATTCAAGTCCAGATTGTTTTCAAAAAAGTTCCTTGTATTTTATTGAGCTGCAGGAGAATTTGACAAAAGATGATGCTAGGCAACAATTCTTACGTATCTTGAGAACGCTTCCTTACGGAAACTCAGTGTTCTTTGCTGTCCGTAAGATTGATGATCCCATCGGGCTCTTGCCAGGCAAGATTGTTTTAGGCATTAATAAGCGGGGGGTGAGGATATAACATATAAGTTATTTTTGCATGTCATTTTATTACAACAGATCCTTAATATGATTTACTTGTTGAACATACTAATTTGTTTGTTTATAAAGGTTCATTTCTTCCGCCCAGTCCCAAAGGAATATCTCCATTCAGCCGAGTTGAGAGATATAATGCAATTTGGAAGCAGTAATACGGCCGTTTTTTTCAAGATGAGAGTTGCTGGTGTCTTGCATATATTTCAGTTCGAAACGAAGCAGGTTAGAATTTGTTTGGTCTTGGTCTTGGATTTGTTTGTTGAAGGTTTATTACTGTTAACATTGTTATGTTTTTTAGGGGGAGGAAATCTGTGTGGCCCTTCAGACACATATAAATGATGTAATGTTACGCCGCTACTCAAAAGCACGTGCTGTTGCTCATGGAGCAATTAATGGGCATTCGTCTGATATTGTTCGACCTACTATAGACATCAGTGAGAATCGTTTTTCAGACATGTCAAAATCTCTTCAAGAATCAGAAAATAAAGTCAACCAAGTGAGTTTGCTCGTTTCTTGAAAAAAAGAGCAATTATAAGTTGAAGCATTATTACGGTTGACTTCCACGGTTAATTACTAATTATTATTCAAATGATAAAATTCTTGTTGATGGTCAAATTGCACAATTTGTTGCTAAAATGTCATTTTAGAATTTTTTTTTTTCTAAAAGATCGGTGTATTTGGTTGTTCAGTTGGAAGAACAGTTGCATCAAAAGCAAAATCAAGAACTGCAAATGAAAGAAGATATTGAGAGTTTGAAGGGCATGCTGCAGTCTGAGAAAAGGTATTTAGAAGAAATAATTTCTGAACGTGACAAATTGCGAGCTTCATGTGACGAAAAAGATTCAGCACTGCAGGTAAATCATACTTGAAAAGCGATTCCACTCGGTTCTCATTGGTTGTTTGCAGCTCCTTATTAATGATCACTTATAGGCAGCATTTATGGAGAAACAGAACCTAGAAATGAAGTTTGCAAAGCTGAATAGTCAAGGATTGGGGAGCAATATCAAGAAAGAGTTGGTTGAAACAAATAATCAGGTAAAATATGCCTATGATATTCATTGTCGTTTTTTTTTTTTTCAGTTAATATTCATAACAAACATTTTACTCAGCATATTTTAATCCTCGTGAATAGGTTCTGCGTAAGACTCAGGATGAACTAAAAGCACGTAATGCAGAGTTGCTTGTTGTAGAAGAATCTAAAAGGAAAATTGTAAATGAAAAGACATTGCTCGAAGAAAGACTTTCTAGACTTGAGAAGAAGTATGTTGGCGAGGTAAGACATTTTTTGTCTTTTGTCAGTTTCTGAATTTTAATAACTAATGGATGGTTATATCACATGAGATTTTTTTTCGTATGTAGATTGCTCTTATCGAGGAAAGGTTTGAACATGAACGCAAGACTATGAAGCTTCAGATTACGGAGCTTGAAAAGAAGTTGGAAGACACCACACAAAACTTAATTGTCGCACAATCTGCCATTGCCCTCAAGGACAAAGATTTGTCTGCCTTGCATAATAATCTCAAGGAACTCGAGGAGCTTAGAGAAATGAAAGAGGTGAAAAATCAATTTGCTATGAAAATTTTTCTTCTTGATTCTCGATCTCGTTACACTTTTGTAAGATAAGTTTTGTATTACACGTATTAATAGATAATTCTATGTATAGGATATCGACAGAAAAAATGAGCAAACGGCTGCAATATTGAAGATGCAAGGGGCTCAATTAGCTGAGATGGAGGCACTATACAAGGAAGAACAAGTTATGAGAAAACGGTATTTTAACATGATGGAAGGTATTTCCTCTTTCTATATATTCATCATTGTGAGTGGAATAGACATGTATTAGAGAAGTAAAATTTATAGGAAAGCTCCAACTTTGAAGAGAAAAGAAACAATTGCTATTTTGCTAGACATAGTTAATGGCTATGAACAAATAGAGCTTTTAATATGGTGAAAATAAAGTATCTTTATTTTCTTCTTTGGAACATAAGGATTAATATCTATGTGAATATAATTGTTAACCATCATGTACTTTGAATAATAATGTATCATGTATCCTTTATTTGTTTCTCAGATATGAAGGGTAAAATACGTGTATATTGCCGTTTAAGACCCCTAAGTGAAAAAGAAATGTGTGCAAAGGAGAGAAATGTGCTTGCAAATGTTGACGAGTTCACAGTAGAGCATATGTGGAGAGATGATAGAATAAAGCAACATATGTATGACCGTGTTTTTGATGGCCAAGCCTCGCAAGAGGATGTTTTTGAGGATACTAAGGCATGTTCAATAAAATTTAATTTTGTTTACCTGGTTGTTATAAAACCAATTTATTGAAACAACATCATATACTCGGTTCTCATTTTAATACATTTGGGTTTTTTTATGCCTCTATCTAATGCAGTACTTAGTACAATCGGCTGTTGATGGATACAATGTATGCATATTTGCATATGGACAAACTGGTTCGGGAAAAACATTCACGATTTATGGATCCGAGAGCAATCCTGGGCTCACTCCACGGGCTATATCTGAACTCTTTAGAATCATAAAACATGATAGTAAGAAATTTTCATTTACTTTGAAGGTAATGAGAACAAAGTCTTGGTTCAGCCCTTTTAATTTCAAAAGAATAAATTAGTGTTCAAGTTGTGGAATTTTGTTGATTTATCATGACCAATTAACTTCTGCGTGCAGGCATACATGTTGGAATTATATCAAGACACCCTAATTGATCTCCTTCTGCCAAAGAATGCTAAACGTTCTAAACTGGACATAAAAAAAGATTCGAAGGTAGCTGCATTAATATATTATTGAAAGATGTAAAACTTTGAAACTATTGAAAGATAAAACGCTATATTATTTCAAAGGTAGTTGCATTATAAAATTATTGAAAGATATAAAGACTATATTTGAACTGTTTTAGTTTGATATATGTTTAGTAACCGACTAAAGTCTACTATTAATTTGCTTTTAACTGATTCAGTTTTCTGCCTCTAATTTTATAGGGGATGGTAGCTGTGGAAAATGTAACAATATTATCCATAACGTCTTATGATGAGCTGAGAAGTATTATTGAGAGAGGATCTGAACAACGTCATACAACTGGAACCCTGATGAATGAACAGAGCTCAAGATCGCATTTGATACTCTCTATTGTTATAGAGAGCACAAATCTTCAAACCCAATCTGTTGCCAGAGGGAAGGTAGCAAACTAGCAATTTAGTTTTGTCGACAATGCTTTCAAATTGACTTAGGATCTTTAAGTGTACTTTTATGTGTAGAGAAAAGAGGCCTTTACTGTTCAAGTCAAGTGTTCATCTGAGGGGTATTTGTAGAAAAGTACATTAATAATGATGAGATTTTGAATTTTTGCCAATAAAAAAAATGAATTTTCTATAATTAGCTTAGTTTCGGTAGTAACTTTTGTGATCAAACCATTGTGAAAGATTATTGTTCGTCTTCCGGTTTTGCTTCATTCAAGCCTTTTTGCTTTAATTCTTGTGCAGCTAAGCACTTTTGTGATCAAACCATTGTGAAAGATTATTGTTCGTCTTCCGGTTTTGCTTCATTCAAGCCTTTTTGCTTTAATTCTTGTGCAGCTAAGCTTTGTGGATCTTGCTGGATCCGAGAGGGTGAAAAAATCGGGCTCTTCCGGTAGTCAACTAAAAGAAGCCCAAAGCATAAATAAATCTCTTTCCGCACTCGGTGATGTCATCGGTGCTCTGGCTTCCAATAATCAACACATTCCATATAGAAATCACAAGCTAACAATGTTGATGAGTGATTCACTTGGCGGTAATGCCAAAACGCTAATGTTCGTAAACTTATCTCCTGCCGAGTCGAATCTGGACGAGACCTACAACTCTTTAACGTAAGCAATTTTTTTTTGTTTTGTTTTTTTTTTTCTACAGAGTTGCATTTTTAAGTACGAAATATTTTCGCTTAAACGTGTCAAAAT